TACTTCCTACGGCTTTCCGTCCACCGCGGCCAGCCCCCCCCCTGTTGTTTTCATCGCGGAGCCTCGGTAATAGGTTCTGCTCTCGGGAGCGCTTCCCTTCGTTACTCTTCTTGTCGACTGTTCTCAAATGTTCATTCTTCCAGGTGAACGACTCAACCGTTTGTCAAGTCCCGGTCCCGTGAAGTTCCACCGGGGTTTAATGTTATGTGTTGATATTTAAAATGTTCTTTTGCTAATGTGATTGGAGATTTTCCATCATGTTTTTCTCATGCATACAAAGTGCTAACCACAGTGCCTGCCACAGAGCAAAACTCGATAAGTAGTAGCATTTATAATTATTGATTGAATGTATATCTAAAAGCTACTGAGTTTCTATTCTTTTTTTTTTTAATATATTCATACTTGGTCACTCTATTGAGCTTCTGGATTTTCTTCTTTTCTTTTTTGAGTCCTTGGGGCTGTTTTTATTTTTGATTGAAGGATTTGCTTCCTTCACTTAACGTTGGGATTCATTCTCTTTCTGAGACAAACCCCTCTGAGTTTGGGACTCTGGAAAATGCCTTTGTACGAAGCTCCACGTGGAGGCTGCCTGGTGTTGGGGCTGTTACCCCACCAACCCCCTTGGCTTCAGCGTTAGAGACCTTTCTTCCGCTGTGCACACCTCTACCGTCCCAATCCTTCGTACTGGCTGTGAACGGTCTCCTTCAGCCAGACATTCCCTCGGAGACCAAGAGCAGACACGGCTGCTCAGGCTCCTACGTTCTTCCCCAGAAGAGGCGAGTGGGGTTCTTGCCCTCTCCGGAGGTGTGCTCGGGCCTGCAGGTGAGGCTCACGGGCACACAGTGTGACTGCACCCCCCCCCCCAAGTGCAATTCTACTCCTTAATGAATCCCTCCTCGGAGTAGATCCCAGACCTCTTCCATGTGACTGTTTCTCCAGGCATGCGTCTCTTATTTTGTGCTTGTAAAATTAATCTTTTTTTAAAAAGATTTATTTATTTATGATAGAGAGAGAGAAAGAGAGAGAGAGAGAGAGAGGCAGAGACACAGGAGGAGGGAGAAGCAGGCTCCATGCTGGGAGCCCAACGCGGGACCCGATCCCGGGACTCCAGGATTGCACCCTGGGCCAAAGGCAGGTGCTAAACTGCTGAGCCACTCAGGGATCCCTATAAAATTAATCTTACTAGACGTGTATGGGTTTCCCGATTATTGTATACCTTTTAATAATCTGTGAAATGACTCTATAACTTAACTTTTATCACCTGAATGTTATCCTGTCAGGGATTCTGTTTCACCTTTCACGAACATTCGATAAGTGTACCCCTTTGGTCATCAGTCAGGCCACCAGTGGTAATTTTCTTTAGCTAGATCTTTTGTTTTAAAATTCTGCAATTCACTATTCATTTGCTTCAAAGTTAAGCTGTCTTAGGACAGTCATTTCTACTTAGAATGCCCAAGGCTTTCTAATCATTACTTATTTCAATACATTCAAAATACTGTAAAATTGTGCATTTTCACTTTTGAAAATTCAGTTTTTCCTGACATAGCTGCATTTTTTTCCTCTGGGCATCAATGATCAAGAACAACATTAAAAACCAACCTCTGCTCATTTCTAAAAGGAAAGGCCCTCAAAATAAGCACCCACACACCTCTGCCAGCACCCCACACGCCGGCTTGGTCGCAGAGACCCCATCAGTTCTCAGCTCTGTCTCCAGGATTACTCTGCAATAGATAATCAAACAGACTTGTTTTCCGATTTTAAGTTCTGGAGGGTTGATAGAACACCCCCCTGCTCCTGATGAAATAATACAAGGCAGAGATTTTTTCATTACAACAGAAATCCTACTTTTCTCCCCTGAAAAAGCAACTGGGCCCTAAAACATGGAGCCAGGCTCAGGTTTCAGTGGGATGAAGGTGAGCGTGGCCTCTGTTAGAGGATGACAGGCAGGAGGGAGCCGGAGGGCAGCACGGGCCTGCCCTGGCCTCCTCTCCCATGGCAGGTAAGCTCCCAGGACCTAATAATCATCGCTGCCCACTTCTCCATGGATTTTCTCTGTCCTGACCACGGTCTCGAGCTGGGCCATGTTCCCGCTGCACGTGCACTTCGGTATAAGGCCAGGGTCCAGGTTCACGTTAGCAGGACCGGACCAGTAAGGGCATTTTGGCGCTTGAGGGGAAAAAACAGAACCCAATCAAACCCTTGGATTGGGTTAAATGACCCCTCTGGATTCTGCTTTCTAGGAAAGGCGGCGCTTTACTGATGAGACAGTGGATTAAACGAACTTTGACTATTAAGCTCTCAAGCTTTTTGAGCCACCGGTTTGGGTCCCGAAACACCTGCCAGGCACAAAGTTTTATTTGTGCACCCACTGCAGAGCCCTTTATGGAAAGCGACAAATGCCCCCGTGCACATGCCCCCGGGGAGGTGTGTTAGGGACAGAGTGGTTAGTCCATCCCAGGCCAAGGCCAGCACACAGGTGTGCATGCTCTGCCTGCTGGGGGCCCCGTGCACGTGCCCCGGAGGAGGTGCGTTAGGGACACTCAGTCCAAGGTGGAGGCCAGCAAGCAGGTTTGCACACCCTGCCCGCTGGGGGCCCCGAAGGAGGCGCGTTAGGGACCCAGTGGTCCGGCCAAGGGAGGCCGAGGCCAGCTCGCAGGTGTGCACGACCCGCCCACTGGGGGGGCCCGTGCACGTGCCCTGGAGGAGGCGCATTAGGGACAGAGCAGTCAGTGCATCCGAGGCCGAGGCCAGCCCGCAGGTGTGCACGCCCCACACACGTGCCCCCGGAGGAAGCTCCTTAGGGACCTAGTGGTCTGGCCAAGGGAGGCCGAGGCCAGCAAGCAGGTGTGCACGCTCTGCCCGCTGGGGGCCCCGTGCACGTGCCCTGGAGGAGGTGCGTTAGGGACACTCAGTCCGAGGCCAGCACGCAGGTGTGCACGCCCCGCCCGCTGGGGGCCCCCCGTGCACGTGCCCCGGAGGAAGTGCATTAGGGACACTCAGCCCGAGGCCGAGGCCAGCCCGCAGGTGTGCACGCCCCGCCCGCTGGGGGCCCCGGAGGAGGCGCGTTAGGGACCCAGTGGTCCTGCCAAGGGAGGCCGAGGCCAGCTCGCAGGTGTGCGCGCCCAGCCAGGTGACCCGGCCCGGCCCGCGGCGCCCCCGCCGTCCCCCACTGCACACGGGCCGCAGGTGCTCCTTCCCGCGGGGGACACACGGGGGGGTCCGGGAGCCGGGGGCGCGCCGAGGCCGGGGGGCGGGGGGTCTCCAAGGACGCTCCGCGCCCGACCGCCAGCGCGCGGGGTCTCCAGGGCCGGCGGGGCTCTGGGGGGCCACTGGACCCGGCCCAGAGCACCCGGCCCGCGCAACCTTCCGCGCTGTGCGTTCGGCGCCGACCGGCGCAGCAGGCCCCCCGCGGGCCCCACGACTCCCGCCCGCGGCGCAGGCGCGGCGGCCCCACCTCCGCGGGGAGACCCGCCGGCCGGCGCCCCGCGTCCCGGAGGCCGCGTTCCCGCCGCGGGGCAGGGCGGGGCCCGCTGCGCCTGCGCACTCGGCCTCCGCGCCGCCCGTGCGTCTCGGGGAGCACGCCGCACCACGTGACCGCCGCCAGTACCCAAGATGGAGGCCGCGGCGAGGCCCGGTCGGAGCCCTGCCTCCGCCTGCGCCCGGGAGTGCGCCCGCTAGGCGCTGCGGCGCTCGGTCCCGACAGCCGGGCCGGCGCGGAGCAGCCCTTCGCGGCTGCCGAGTGGAGCTCACCGGGGCGAGCGCCCACGTTGACACTCACGACCCACCCGGCTCCCGGCGCTTTCTCAACCGCGAAGGGTCCGGCGGCTGGCGCCTGGAGCGTCCTCCGGCGGCCCCGCCCCCGAGGATCGGCATCTCGGGCAGCCAATGGGGTCCGGGATGTGCGCGGGAAGGCGGGCAGAGGTGGAGCGTCCCTGCCGTTTGTAGGGCTTGCGGCCCGGCGATTGGCCGCCGCGGGACGGGGGGCGGGAGCGCGCGGGGCGGTACCCGGCGCCCCAGCGGGCCAATGGGAGGGCGGCCGGGCGGCCGGGGAGGGCGGGGCCGAGCCGTAATTGACGAGCCCTTCGTTAGAAGTCGGGCAGGAGGGCGGGGCGGTGATGCGAGGCCGGCGCGGCCAATGGCCGCAGGGCCGCCGGCGGGGGGGCGGGGCCGCGGCGGCTGACGGGCGGCGGGCGCGGCCTATCAGCGCGCGGCTCCGTGCTGGAGGGGGGAGCGGCATCATGGTTCAACGTGGGTCAATTTTTTGTGAATGAGGAGGGGAGGTTGTGGGGCCGCCGCCGCGGAGCACCGTCCCCGCCGCCGCCGCCGCCGCCGCCGCGCCCGAGCCCGAGCCCGAGCCCGCGCGCCCGCCCGCCCGCCCGCCCGCGCCGCCGCCGCCGCCGCCTCAGCAGCAGCCTGGGCCCGGCGCGCCGCGGCCGCGTCCCCGCTGTCCCCGCCCGCCCGCCCGCCCGCCCGCCGCCGGCGCTGGTGGCGGTGGTGGTGGCGGTGGTGGCGGCGCTGGAGGCGCAGGCGGACGAGATGCGGCTCGGAGCGCCCGCGCGGGGCTAGAGCGCCCGCCCGCCCGCCGCCGCCGCCGCGGTAAGCGCAGCCCGGGCCATTGTCCGCCCCGCCCCCGCCCCCGCCCCGGCCCCGGCCCCGGCAGGTGGACGCGCCCCCCCCCCCCCGCCCCGGGCGCCGCGACCTGCCTGGGCCCCGGCCGCCCGCAGGGGAGGGAGGGGCGGGAGGGGCGGGGAGGGGCCCGCAGGTGGGCGGGGGGCGCGGGCGGCCGCCGTTTATGTAACTTTGTCCAGGGCTGTGAGTTTGCAGAAAACCGTGCGTCCGCGGGGCTCGCGGCGGCGGGAGGGCCCGGGTCGTGCCCCGGGGCGCGGGGGTGGGGGGGTGGGGGTGGGGCGGGCGCCCCGCGTGCAGATGCGGCCCGCGCCGGGGCGGGGGGGCGGGGGGGCCGAGACCCGCGGGCGCTCGGGGCGGCGGGCGGAGCGGCGCTTGCTTCCTCGCGCGCCGTCGGTGCTGACCTGCCGTGACACAGTTTTCCGACCAAAGCGTCGCAGAGACGGAACTTCGGTTATTTTTAAGAGCCGGAGACTTTCTCAACTAAACCTTAATTGCACTGCTGTAGGGAGCTGCCGGATTGCACGCCCGGAGCAGCGCCGCCTGCCCTGGGTGAGCCAGCGAGGGCGGGCGGGCGGGAGGGAGGGAGGGAGGGAGGGCCTGGGCGGTCACTTTGCTTCCTCTGCCTCCTCTGCTCAGCCTCTTCTGTTTATTCCCACAGGCCGCCTCAGCGTGCGAGGCCTGGGAGTGGACCTGTGCACAGCCCTCACCCAGCGCCGGGCGCCCAGCAAGATGCGGGGAAGGCTGGGCTGCTCGCTGGTGCAGGGCTGGGGGGGTGCTTGCACCTTGGCCTGGTTTCACTTTTTCTTTTGTGACATGACCGTGGCCTCCCGGAGCCTTAATTGCCTCCGATGATTGCACGCGCGTTGCATGGCACTGGGGGGACTAGTGCGGGGGGGACCGTCCCCCTGTCCTCCTGCAGAAACCGATGTGCCGGGGAAGGCGGGCGGCCGGTGGCGGTGGCGGTGGCGGTGGCGGTGGCGGTGGCGGTGGCGGTGGCGGTGGCAGTGGCAGGCCACCCTGCGATGGCCCGGGTTAGAGGCAAAGGAGAGGCGCCGAATCGGGAATCCGGAGAAAACTCAGCTGCTCGTACACGAATATATACACTCCAGCAATTACAAAGCAACAAAAGTTATTGCAGAATTTTGCAGTCACTATGGCAACACGATTACTCTATTATAATTGGAAATGCAGAAATGCCACCCTGTTAGAAGTTTCATCAGAATGGAGTTTTGGATGTATCAAAAATAGGCGAGATTTGAATTTTTCCCTTTTTTTTTTTTTCTCCTTTTTTCTTTTTTTTTTTTTTCCTTTCAGGTAGCTCCTGAGAATTCTAAAAAATCTGTGTTCAATTATCTATTTTTAAGACCGATCAAGCTTTCCCAGATATTCTACTCCCTTGGATCTGTGGCATCTTTCCCCAGAATTCACATTCGTGTGGGAGGGAAGTATTTTCCTGCCTTAAAACCACACACCCTGACACATTGTAAGACTTGTATAGCTTTCTGTGTTTCTGGGCTTTTATTTTAAAGATCAAATACCCTCCTGACAAGAGCGGTAATCAATCAGGAGAGAAACGGGGTTTATACGGCAGGCAGATGTAACACTGCCCTCTTTAGGGTTAGTTCATTCTCCTGCAAGCTGGCAGCCTGAGTGCCTCTGGGGGAGCCCTGGGGCTGGGCCGGGGGTGGGGTGGGGGGGCCGAGGCTGTGTGTGTGTATGTGTGTGCAGGGCGGGCGGATGACTGTGGACTCCTGGAGGCCTGGACGGCCTAGAGACCAAGGACAGATGTGGCCTAGGCAGCCCCGAGCCAGAATGTTCTGTGGTCAGCAGCTTCACAGCCGTGCAAAGTCAGACTGCCCAAATGCCGCGTTCTCCGAGGCCTTGGGGGGCTGCTCCTGTAGCAAGGTGGACAGAGCAGCGTGGCAGGCCTGGCCACGTGCACCTGGGGTGACCCGATCTGGACTTTCGGCGACCAGAAACCTGCTTTACAAGGACGCCCCTCTTGGTGTTTACCAGGGGCACTCTAGTTCTGGAAGTTTCCACACGTTGTGGGGTTGCTGCAGTTTAATTTCGTTATAACTCTTTCCTTTTAACTACTGCATATTTATGCCCAGTAATCGACTTCCATTTCCCAGCTTCATTGTGAGGTTTCAATGCAGCATGAATGGCTTTGAATTTCTCATCCTTTGATGTTGGGGGTGGCACCAGAGGAAAGGCGACTTTGTGCCGTCTTAATTGCCGGAGCAGAAGAAACATTTCATCACTCCTGTAGAATCCGTCCATACCGTTCTCTATTGAAAACGGCTGGGCTTTCATGGCTCCGAAGCTGCCCCGAGTAATAGATTAATACCTGATGTAGGGAGCGGGGGAGACGCCGAGAACGGGAGACAACTGCTGTGCCGCGAGGCCGCGGGCGACAGGCTGTGGCCGGGCTTGCGTTCCTGGACCAGAATCGATGACTGCAGCTGGGGATATGGGCTGGCCCAGCCCCCCCCCCGTGTGTGTGTGTGTGTGTGTGCGCGCGCGTGTGAGCGTGTGAGCGTGTGAGCGAGCGAGCGAGCTTCGGATTCTGTCCTCGCTCTGCAGCCGGTGAAGCCTGGCCTGAGCCCCTGCTCTTCTCGCCAGGCTTCCAGTCCTCGCCCCGCTTGGGTGCAGCCTCTCATGGCTCCTGGGGTGGGGGTGGGGGGCAGGCAGCAAGCTGGGGGGCAGTTTTTGTTTCCGTCTCAGACGGTCCGCATGTGCGGGGCTGTGCGGTGGGCTCAGGGCCGTTGGTCTTGACCTCAGAGGACGGTGTCGCGTCTGTCGGTTAAGTCAGATGAGGGTTCCCTGGCAAAACTGATGCCGCGTTTTAACAGGCCTTCGCGGCATATGTTTACAGAGTGTTCCTTTTGGGGAAAAAGAAACGTCTGGAAGTAAGATCTGTGAGTTCTCCTCCTAGGATCGGGTTTCTCTTCCTGGGGTCTGTTCAGGGGTGCGGGGTGGGCTGTGGCATCTGTGGCCGCGGCATGCCTTTTCTAACATGCCTCCTCCTCAGTCTCCTGGAAGGAAGCGCCAGGGCCCTGCCCGGGTTGCCGCTTCTGCGGTCCTCCCCGCGGCACCGGGACAGATCACCATCTGCATCGGTCAGCGTGGAAACCAGACCGTCTTGGCTGGCGAGGAGATCGTAACGCTAGTGGTTGTGAGAGACCGGTAGCTGACGTTTAATGAGCACCTGCTTGGGGCCGCGTGTTGTCGTGAGCACTTGCCGTCCAGATCCCGTTTCTCTCTCCCACAGCCTTATGAAGTGGCTGCTTCTCTGCCCATTTTGCAGAGGAGGAACCCGAGAGAGAAGTGGAAATGGAGCATCTGGTACTCCTTGCTCTGTCAAGTCCCAGATGCCGATTCCTTCTCCTCCGTGCCTCTGCTGCCAGGCCACCGAGGGATGGTCTTGCAACGTTCAGTGTTGTTAAGGGCCTCGGGAGAGCGTAGCCTCTTTGCGAAGGTGGCCGTTTGGAATATCTTCTGGGTTCAGTAGGGTTTGGGACGTCGTTCAGATTTTCTCCACTGTCACGTGTGTGGCATTATAGGACATTATAGGAGGGAAGGGATCTTTTTTTTTTTTGATTTTTATTTATTTATTTATGATGGTCACAGAGAGAGAGAGAGAGAGAGAGAGGGAGGCAGAGACACAGGCAGAGGGAGAAGCAGGCTCCATGCACCGGGAGCCCGATGTGGGATTCGATCCCGGGTCTCCAGGATCGCGCCCTGGGCCAAAGGCAGGCGCCAAACCGCTGCGCCACCCAGGGATCCCGAGGGAAGGGATCTTAACGGTTCCTGTCGACTCGTGGTTGTTGGATCCTGTGCTCGGATCTCCCCGTGAGCCTGCCTGGGGGTTGGCGAGGATGGAGCACCTTGTGCTCCACGTCCATTTCAACCAATGCATTTTGGCCTTAACTATTCTGTCTGCAGGATTGCCTTGGAAATTTTTATTGGAAGAAAGCATTCTAAGGACCAAAAACTTTGAAAAACCACCAATTCAGTCTATTCTTACTGTAACACCAAGCCAGAAACCTTAAAGATGAAACACATAGGTTTAACAGCATAAGAATTAAAGTAAATTCTTTCCGGCTAAAGGTTCCATGAGTGAGGTTAAGAGACAATAAGAGAAAGAATATATAACAAGATGTGCCTGTATGAGCTTAATAGCCAATATGTAAAGAGCTTTTGCAAACCAATAAGAAAAGGATGAACATTCCTATTGTAAGATGAGCAAAGCCTATAAATAATACAAGTCACAGTAGCTAATGTAAACATCTTAGCTTTATTAATAGAGAATTTCAGATGAAAGATTCCATTTATGCCCATCACATCAGCAAAGGTTGTTTGATGGCACCCGTTGGTTGGATAACAGTTCCTTTATGGTTTCTGTCAAATGGAAATCCACTGTGTGGAAGTGCTTAGAATCGGGCCTGGCACATAGTAAGCACAATGTAAGTGTTGACTGTTACTATTATTTGCTCCCTGGAGAGCAAAGCCTAATTACTTTATTACCCTCCAGAAAAGTTTTACGAGTCAAAAATGTAATTGGTCATTTCTCAGATCCTGGCGGTTCTGCTTGTTGGGACTATTTATTCTTAAGAAAGAATACGATAAGTGCTTGGATATCCAGATCCGTGCGGGAGGTTATCACTGCATTATTTATGAAGGCGATACTTAATAAATACACTTCAGTATTTTCATCCCGTGGAATACAGATGGGCAGGCTCACGGATCAGAAGTGTGCAGTGTGATGAGAAAGTAGGGCCAGGGCAGTAGTACCCAGGGGATCCCTTTATTTTATTTTATTTTATTTTATTTTATTTTATTTTATTTTATTTATTTATTTCTAACTACGTGGGTCTCTGAAGTGATAATGGTGGCCCTCTGGGGTGTCAGGGAAATGGAGTGCGAGGGGCTCTGTGGACTTCTCATAAATGTTACTAGTGTAGGTTTTTGCCCTGGGTGTGTGTTGTTACTTTTTAATAGTAATGCTTTTTTTTTTTTTAAAGCCTGCTATGATCACTGGGGAAAAAACACTCTTCGACTTCGTTGTTTATAAAGGAGAAAAACCAAGTCCTTGGGAAGTTGATAAATATGCTTAGCATTAGAAGAATTTAGGGGATTTGTTGCCGTGACTCGCCGGTAAGCTCTCCTCGCGGGGAGCTGGCCTCCCGGGTCTGGGCAGCTGTGGTGCAATCCGTGCTGCAAGTGGCCGCCTCAGGGGCCTCCCCCAGCAGCAGATCCGTACCCCTCACTCCCTTGCTGGACACCCTGTCGCGGCTTCCCGATGTTCTGCGACCCTCTGTGGGACCAGCCTCCCGCGATGGCGCCTGTCCTCTTCCGCTGCCTTTGCCTTGCAAGCCGCCTGTCCGCCCAGAGCGTGGACGCGCTGTGTCTGTCTGTCAGCACTACCTTTCCCGTCCCCTCCCCCCATCCCTGCGGACCCTTAGGTCCCCGTTCGCACCAGGCCGGCTTCCTGACGGGCTCCAGTCGTGCAATTTCAGTCGCTCTTTGGGGCGTTGGTAGGTGAG